CACAGATAACCCCCGGCGGCACAGTGGGTTAAACCCCTGTGCCGGCAGGATTGAAGACCGACAGGTCGCAGGTTCGAATCCGGGAGAGGCGGATGAGCTCCCTCTATCAGCTCCAGCTCCTCATGCGGGGACATGAGAGAAGCCTCCCACAAGGATGATAAAAACATCAAATCATCCGGGCGTCCCCTGGGCAACGTACTTGCAGACGGCCAATTCTCTCACACCAGAAGCGACTTGCAGTTTCTCAAGTTGCTCCTGACACAACCAAAAAAAAAAAAACAAACAGTTCAAAGCAGATATTATGAATTATCTGCCTTGATATTCTGGGTTATATGCCTGTGTGGAAGGACCCTGAGGCCCATTCCACACAGCTGTGTAAAATCCCACATAATCTGCTTTGAACTGGGTTATATGGCAGTGTGGACTCAGATAACCCAGTTCAAAGTAGTTATTGTGGATTATCTGCCTTGATATTCGGGATTATATGGCTGTGTGGAAGGGGCCTTATTGAGGTCTTACCCTTCATATCCTTGCCTCTTCTACACAAATTATGCTGTATTCATTGAGATGTCACAAACTCTGGGAAGAGTTGGGTTCAAATCCACAATCAGATATCAAGCTGATATCAATGGGTTACCCAATGGGTTATCCGGATACCAATGGGTTACCCTGGTTCAGCTGTACTCTTTCAGCCCAATCTGTCTCACAGGGTTGCTATGATTATAAAGTGAGGGAGAGAACTGCAGCTTAGAAAATATTAGTTTTTTGGTCTATAAGTCCTAAAATCCCCAAACAGTAGCCATAGACCGAAAAACAATTTTTTGGAAGCTCTGGAAAAAGTATTCTGGTGTGAAGTCTGTTTCAAAACATAGTACATTTTGGGTTGTTATAGGTTTTTTCGGGCTATATGGCCATATTCTAGAGGCATTCTCTCCTGACGTTTCGCCTGCATCTATGGCAAGCATCCTCAGAAGTAGTGAGGTCTGTTGGACCTAGGAAAATGGGTTTATATATCTGTGGAATGACCAGGGTGGGACAAAGGACTCTTGTCTGTTGGAGCTAGGTGTGATTGTTTCAACTGACCACCTTGATTAGCATTTGATGGGCCTGGCAGTGCCTGGGGCAATCTTTTGTTGAGAGGTGATTAGGTGTGCCTCTGAGGATGCTTGTCATAGATGGAGGCGAAACGTCAGGAGATAATGCCTCTAGAACATGGCCATATAGCTCGAAAAAACCTACAACAACCCAGTGATTCCGGCCATGAAAACCTTCGACAATACATAGTACATTTTAAATCCAAAATGAGATGCATGTAAAGAAATAAACATATCACATACTACTAACAGGTTTCATTTTATAAGGATCTGATACTCCCCACTTCCAATTTTTAAAAATAATTCCTTTGAACAACAACAACAACAACTTTATTTATAACACTTTCTATCTCCCTGAAGGCACTCAGGGAATCATCCTTTCTTTCAGTGATGATGACACTATGTAACACAAATTTCGTTCCTAGGTTATAAATGTCATCTCCTAATTGATTGTATAATAAAACATGGAAAAGGTTTATTAAACTGCAAAAACTTTGTATTGTCGAAGGCTTTCATGGCCAGAATCACGGGGTTGTTGTAGGTTTTTTTGGGCTATATGGCCATGTTCTAGAGGCATTCTCTCCTGACGTTTCGCCTGCATCTATGGCAAGCATCCTCAGAGGTAGTGAGATTGTTTTTGCGGGACATCCTGCAGCACCTTTTGCTATAGTTTTTCAATGAATATCTCATAGAGGCTCAATAATAATAATAATAATACTTTATTTGTACCCCGCTACCATCTCCCCAAGGGACTCGGTGCGGCTTACATGAGGCCGAGCCCAAATACAACAATAAACAATAGCAACAGTAATACAAAACAATAAATAAACTCATAAGCAGAAAATAAGCAATAAACATTAACAATAACACGACGCATTTAAAAACCTATGGCTGGGCCAAATGTAATAAATTTTAAAAATAATGCTGGGCATGATAAGGTGACATATAACTAGGGTAAAAGGTTTTGGAGAGGGATGAGATGTGCAGACAAACCTAGATCACTAATAAAGTGCGTTTAGGAACATATGTTGATCGAAAGGTCGCAGGTTCGATTCCGGGGAGCGGCGTGAGCTTCCGCTGCCAGCCCTAGCTTCTGCCAACCTAGCAGTTCGAAAACATGCAAATGTGAGTAGATCAATAGGCACCGCTCCAGCGGGAAGGTAACGGCGCTCCATGCAGTCATGCCGGCCACATGACCTTGGAGGTGTCTACGGACAACGCTGGCTCTTCGGCTTAGAAATGGAGATGAGCACCACACCCCAGAGTCAGACATGACTGGACTTAATGTCAGGGGACTACCTTTACCTATACCTTAGGAACATATTGCTGGGAGTTTCCTTATTCTGGAAAGGCACACTGAAACAACCACATTTTCAGGCTCCTCCTAAACACTGCCAGAGTCAGGGCATGCCTAATGTCCTTGGGAAGTGAATTCCAGAGTCGAGGGGCCACCACCGAGAAGGCCCTCTCCCTTGTCCCCACCAATTGCGCTTGCGATGGTGGTGGGAGTGCAAGCAGGGCCTCCCCAGATGATCGAAGAGATCGTGTGGGTTCGTACACAGAGATGCGGTCACGCAGGTAGGTGGGTCCCAAACCGTTTAGGGCTTTGTAGGTAAGCACCTGCACCTTGAATTGGGACCGGTAAATGAACGGCAGCCAATGGAGCTCCTTAAACAGAAGGGTTGACCGCTCCCTGTAAGGAGCACCAGTTAACAACCTGGCCCGCTCGTTGAACCAATTGAAATTTCCGGGCCATTTTCAAGGGTAGCCCCACGTAGAGTGCATTACAGTAGTCCAATCTGGAGGTGACTAAGGCAATGATAATAATTTTATTTATACCCCGCACCATCTCCCCAAGGGGACTCGGAGCAGCTTACATGAGGCCAAGCCCAACAACACATCAAAAGACAAACAGCAATAAGCAAATAAAACAATATAATTAATATAAATCACATATAAAACAATAATTTAAGAATTTTAAAAAATGCAACCACTTCATCATAGTTTGTGGCAGCCACAAAAATAGTTTCTGGAGTAGAACAACTACTTTCAAAGGAAGTACCACACAATTAAACAGGAAACAACACTTTCAAACCAGGAACAGATTTTTTTCCTTCAAATTTTGTTACATAGTGTGATTATTTCAAGTATCTGGTTCTAGCCCAATGTGACCTTCCAAAGCTTGACCTCCCGTTGGATTTCATATAAATACATAGGTGAGGCCTCCAGTTACAGGATGAGAAATTGGCAGCTAACAGTTTCCCAGTGTGTACCTAATGGGTGGTAATTCATTTCCGTGAGTACAGTTACAAACATAAGGTTGAACATTAACAAAAGCCAGACTGAAACAGAAACCAGGTTTTCCTCTGTAGGTGTGAGCAAAGGGCAGGAAACATCCTGAGATTCAGTGGGATGGGTCTCTGTGACTCAGGCAAAGGTCTCTTTTCAAATTCCTTGGCTGATGTGCCAGAGGTCAGGTTACACACCCTCAAAACTGAAATGCCTTCCATCAATCCTAGATACAAGTGGCTTGGTCGATCACTAGAGTTGGCTTCCTCCAGTGAATCAACTCATTGTTTCGGCCACGTGGATCTCCTTCAGTACCAGACCACAATATTGTTGGTAAAACATCAGGAAAAAATGACAAAATTAGCAACTGTATAAAACCAGCAGCAACAAAAATAACAATGTGAAATGATGAAATCACGGGACTCGAGGTGTTGTCGTATTTGGGTAGTAAAGATGGCAGCGCATGAGTATTAAAAGGTTAAAAAACAAATCAGCATAGGGTTTTAGTCTTTAGGTATAGTGATAACAGTACATGTTTTTGTGGTCATATCTAACCATAGGGATGTTTTTATTTAACAAATACATTTTTTGCTGAAACACAGCAGAACAATGCTATAAACCAGTGTTTCTCAACCTGGGGGTCGGGACCCCTGGGAGGTCCAAAGGGGTGTCAAAAGGGTCACCAAAGACCATAAGAAAACACAGTATTTTCTGTTGGTCATGGGGGTTCTGTGTTGTAAGTTTGGCCCAATTCTATCGTTAGTGGTTCAGAATGCTCTTTGATTGTAGGTGAACTATAAATCACAGCAACTACAACTCCCAAATGTCAGTTTCCCCCAAACTCCACCAGTGGTTCACATTTGGGCATATTGAAAATTCGTGCCAAATTTGGTCCAGATCCATCATTGTTTGAGTCCACATTGCTCTCTGGAGATAGGTGAACTACAACTCCAAAACTAATCCAAACCCTTCCAGTACTTTCTGTTGGTCATGAGAGTTCTGTGTGCCAAGTTTGGTTCAATTCCATCATTGGTGGAGTTCAGAATGCTCCTTAATTCTATAAATCCCAGCAACTACAACTCCCAAATGACAAAATCAGTCATCTCCCACCCACACCCAACCCCACCAGTATTCAAATTTGGGTGTATCAAGTATTTGTGCCAAATTTGGTCCAGTGAATGAAAATATATCTTGCATATCAGATATTTACATTATGATTCATAACAGTAGTAAAATACAGTTATGAGGATGCAACAAAAATATTTTTATGGTTGGGGGTCACCACAACTTGAGTAATTGTATTAAGGTCATGGCATTAGGAAGGTTGAGAAACACCTTCACTACCTCTGAGGATGCTTGCCATAGATGCAGGCGAAACGTCAGGAGAGAATGCCTCTAGACCATGGCCATATAGCCCAAAAAAACCTACAACAACCCACTGATATAAACAGTCCTTGAGTTGTCACCCCATTTGATGCAGTTTTCACCCTCCCTAGTGACACCATTGGGTTGGACCAAGTAATTTAGTGTTGGGTTCTCATGCTCAAAAGCAGTGTTATTATTGGCATCGTGCTCTGCATAACTCTCTCTTTCTCTTTGTTTCTCCCTCCTTTGCAGAAAGACCTTCCTGCAAGAAGCTGGAGGTGACATGGCCTCCACCAACCTCTTCTGAGACTTCCCATGTGAATGGGCTCTACCAGGTAACAACCAGACTGATAGCCGTGGTTACATTTCAGTTAGAACTTGTACTGTGCCTGTGCTTAGGACTAGCAAATATGTCTGTGGCAGAGAGCTTCAATCCATGCAGATATGCTAGGATGCACAACTATAGATCTCACTTAGCAGGCAAAGCCGTCTCCAATATTAGAGGACAAAAGGACCAACGAGGCAGTTCTCCAGCAGATAAATGCCTTTACAAAAAAACCAGTGACCCAGCAGCAAGGTGCAGGGACTGATCTTGCCAGAGCTACACATGCTTTCAGACATATGAATGAAACCTAAAATGGTTATTGAAATGTGTTCACCAGCATCAGAGTGGGCAACATCTCACACAGCCCTATATCCCTGAATATCAAGGCAGAAAATCCCACAATATCTGCTTTGAACTGGGTTATCTGAGTCCACACTCAAATAATGTGGGATTTTCTGCCTTGATATTCTGGCATATAGGGCTGTGTGGAAGGGCGCTCAGTGCTGAGAGGCTACACTGGATACTTCCAAACTTCTCATTAAGCAACATTGCTGCTGTTGGGATTCAGAGGCAAACGCTGACATTTCTGTTGCTACAGTGGAGGGGGAATATACATATCTTTTCTTGGCAAGATATGTTCAGAGGGGGGTTGCCTTTGCTTTCTTCTGAGGCTGAGGGAGTGACTTGTGCAAGGTCATCCAGTGGGTTTACATGGCTGAGCAGGTATTTGAAAAGCTTTTGGTCTTTTTTTGCACTATAATTTTGGCTCTATGATTCTTTTTTAACTGTCATGGCCACATCCTATGATTATCTGGCAGAGAATTCTAGAGGCTCCTCCCAAAGCCCAGGATTGATTTTTTCTTTTTCTTTTTGTCGTGTCAGGAGCAACTTGAGAAACTGCAAGTCGCTTCTGGTGTGAGAAAATTGGCCATCTGCAAGGACGTTGCCCAGGGGACGCCCAGATTATTTGATGTTTTTATCATCCTTGTGGGAGGCTTCTCTCATGTCCCCGCATGAGGAGCTGGAGCTGATAGAAGGAGCTCATCCACCTCTCCCTGGATTTGAACCTGTGACCTGTCGGTCTTCAGTTCTGCCAGCACAGAGGTTTAACCCACTACGCCACCGGGGGCTCCCCAGGATTGATGAAACCATGTTTGTTGTTGTTTATTCATTCAGTCACTTCCGACTCTCTTCGTGACCTCATGGACCAGTCCATGCCAGAGCTCCCTGTCGGCCGTCACCACACCCCCAGCTCCTTCAAGATCAATCCAGTCACTTCAAGGATACCGTTCATCCATCTTGCCCTTGGTCGGCCCCTCTTCCTTTTTCCTTCCATTTTCCCCATCATCATGGTCTTCTCTAAGCTCTCCTGTCTTCTCATGATGTGGCCAAAGTACTTCATCTTTGCCTCTAATATCATTCCATCCAATGAGGAGTCAGGCTTTGGGCTTTATTTCCTGGAGTATGGACTGGTTGGATCTTCTCGCGGTCCAAGGCACTCTCAGAATTTTCCTCCAACACCACAGTTCAAAAGCATCTATCTTCCTTCGCTCAGCCTTCCAAAACCATGTTTAAGCAATGTCAATCTACAACAGGGGTCCCCAAATTAAGGCCCACAGGCTGGATGCAGTCCTCCAAAGTAATTTCCCTGGCCTCCACCCTAAACTTTAGACTAGTGGTTCCCAACCTGTGGTCCATGGACCACCAGTGGTCCCCAACAACTAAAATATGGTCTGAAGCCTCACCATTACCACACTGTTGCAACGAGAACGACTGATCTCACAAAACCCTCTTATAGTGCCGAGGCAACAGGTTTGCCAGAAGGAGAGAGGCTGACTACCCACAAAAGACACAACAACAAGCTTCCCGAGTGCTGCTTCTCCTCTTCCTCCTTCGCCCTGAGTGGAGCCATTCCATGTGGAGCCTGGAAGCGGAGGCGCCTTGATGTCTTCGTTTTTAGGCCTGCACCTGGGATTATTCAGGAAATAAAGCCCGACTGCTCATTGGAGGGAAGGATATTAGAGGCAAAGATGAAGTACTTTGGCCACATCATGAGAAGACAGGAAAGCTTAGAGAAAACAATGATGCTGGGGAAAATGGAAGGAAAAAGGAAGTGGTGCCGACCAAGGGTAAGGTGGATGGATGGCATCCTTGAAGTGACTGGATTGACTCTGAAGGAGCTGCAGGTGGTGACAGCTGACAGGGAGCTCTGGCATGGGCTGGTCCATGAGGTCACGAAGGGTCGGAAGAGACTGAACGAATAAACAACAACCTGGGATTATTTGGAGTGCTGATTCAGAAAATTGTATTGGATAGACCACATCAGCTCTAGATTATTAAAGATGGTTTTCTGCGGGCGAGCAGATGGCAACTACTGGATGGCATATGTTCTGTATCAGAAACTAGAGCTGATGTGGTCTATCCAATGCAATTTTCTGAATCAGCACCCCAAATAATCAAACCAAATCTAAAGTTTACCAAAAACGGATTTGTAACCCTTTTGAAACTAATATTGGAGAGTGGTCCCTGGTCAAACAAAGGTTGGAAACCATTTCTTTAGACTTAAGTTCACCCTAAGTCTGAATTGACGTGAAGGTACACAACAACAACAATCCTAATTCACTTTATATAAAAGTGAATATAAAATATAAAAGCTGTAAACAAATAAATAATAATAAATATAATAAATACTCTCTCATCAGCCAAAAGGAGGTCCACACTTCTCATTGAAATACTCATTGAAATTCTCATTGAGGAGCCCCTGGTCGTGCAGTGGGTTAAACCCCTGTGCTGGCAGGACTGAAGACCGACAGGTAGCAGGTTCGAATCCAGGGAGAGCGCGGATGAGCTCCCTCTAACAGCTCCAGCTCCTCATGCGGGGACACGAGAGAAACCTCCCACAAAGATGGTAAAAACATCAAAACATCTGGGCGTCCCCTGGGCAACATCCTTGCAGACAGCCAATTCTCTCACACCAGAAGCAACTTGCAGTTTCTCAAGTTGCTCCTGACATGACAAAAAAATAAATACTAGTAAGTTTATGTTGGTTAAAATTGTTCTTCAAATGTTGTATTTTTCTTTCTTTCTTTTTTGCACTACAAATAAGATATGTGCCGTGTGCATCGGATTTCATTCATGCTTTTTTAAAAACTATAGTCCAGCCCCTAACAGATCGAGGAAATGTGAACCAGCCCTTGCTTTAAAGAATCTGAGGACCCATGATCTATGATAACTGTATAATGTGAGGTAGACCTTTGTTGCGTTTGTGAAGCGGTCAAATTTTAATGGTGTGGCTTTAGCTGTGGAAGGCGTACCAGAAACCACAGTGGGCCACATTTGTTCTGGGTGGGGTGGCATAGCCCACTCTGGATTAATACTATAAATGTCTCTGGGGCTGACTATGAGATCTGCTATTAACCTAAATACTCATAGATCTATCATGGAAGATGAGGTCACACTCACCCTATATTACACTTTGCTCCCTTTTCCCTTAGGAAGATAAGCTGCGCAAATTGGACCACAGCTCCCTATAGCTTGTGCAAGGGCTGGCTCTTCAGGTCTTTTTGGAGCGCATCCCCTATCAGCCAGTGGTGAGGAATTCTGGGAATTGAAGTTCCCCCATTTGGACGGCTGCAGTTTGCCCACCCTAATCTAAAATAACAAGTCAGCATGTTGCCCTGATATGTTTTACTGTATCAGCCTCACCAAAACAGCTCAAGGAGGATACCAAAACTATTCTCATCTGTTTCAATTTGAGCGTACATAGAAACTGTCCTGATAGTTCAAACCCCATGTAAGGGGCTGATCTGCTGTCCTTAACAGTACACAATGCCTACTGGCGGTGGAAACAAGGGTTGCTTATCTTTCCCTTTGCATACCTCACCCTCTTTTTCACAAAGCCTCAATAGGCTCATTGTAATGCATTTGAATTTTGTATCCTTTCTACCTGATAGAAATAGACAAGCAAATGGTACATAACAGTGCTAGGCTGTCCTTCAAAAGGTTCCTCGTGAATACATTTCCCATTATTCAAATCCTGGCACAAAGTTTGGCACTCTTTTGTTTCATTTGCTCATATATTGATATGAAAAACAGACTCTGCCATTCACTTTTCAAAGGCCAAAATCCACCTTCATTTCCATGATGGTACAGCACAGCCCCAAAAGTATGAATTTCAGCGTTGGACAAAGAATAAGGAGATATGTCTGCTCAGCCATAGAAGCCTATGGGTAAACTTGGACAAGTCACACTCTCTCAACCTCAAAGGAAGGCATAAGCAACCCCTCTGAACAAATATTGCCTGGAAAATCACATGATAGGTTTATTTTGTTGTTGTTGTTTATTCATTCAGTAGCTTCCAACTCTTCGTGACCTCATGGACCAGCCCATGCCAGAGCTCCCTGTCAGCCGTCACCACCCCCAGCTCCTTCAAGGTCAAGCCAGTCACTTCAAGGATACCATCCATCCATCTTGCCCTTGGTCGGCCCCTCTTCCTTTTTCCTTCTATTTTCCCCAGCATCATTCTTCTCCAAGCTTTCCTGTCTTCTCATGATGTGGCCAAAGTACTTCATCTTTGCCTCTACTATCCTTCCCTCTAATGAGCAGTTGGGCTTCTTCTCCCCCCTGCAACCCTGACCCTCAGGTTGAGGAACACTGCTCTAGATGTTTCAAGCAAGCTCCACTATCGACCATTTTGACTGATGAGCATTGCAATTCAAAAATAACAGAAGGCTACAAGTTACCACCTCAAATGGTAGTGAATGTGTACATACATTTTTCCATATATGCTAAATAATAACAATAAACAACAAGTGCAATTGTAAATGTATTGTGGTACCTTGCAACTTAATCATGAAATTTATTAATTAAAGACAGCCACATCCACCAGTTGAATGAAAATGCTTGAATTTGTACTAAATGATGATTGGGGGGGGGGGGGTGAATTAGGGAGTGCTTATCTTTCGGCCTCCATTCTCTATGTCCTGAAATGAACCTTGGCCATGAAACAGCAGGCCATGGGCTCAATCCAATTGATACAATCCATTTCTCTTTGCAGAAGACAATGGCATTGAATCTGTTCCTGGAACCAAATCTTCCTCCATTGCTGGGAATAGTTACTTTTAAGGCCATTTTTTTATCATGTCAGGAGCGAACCAAAACAGTTGTATTGCATTAAAAACAAACAAACCACAAAGTTTGCAGGCTTGGTATCCTATTAAATGTCCTTTGACCAGTATCTGGCCACTTGGAGTGCCTCTGGTGTTGCTGCAAGAAGGTCCTCCATTGTGCATGTGGCAGGGCTCAGGTTGCATTGCAGCAGGTGGTCTGTAGTTTGCTCTTCTCCACACTCACATGTCGTGGATTCCACTTTGTGGCCCCATTTCTTGAGGTTGGCTCTGCATCTCGTGGTGCCAGAGCGCAGTCTGTTCAGCGCCTTCCAAGTCGCCCAGTTGTGTGCCCAGGGGGAGTCTCTCATTTGGTATCAGCCATTGATTGAGGTTCTGGGTTTGAGCCTGCCACTTTTGGACTCTTGCTTGCTGAGGTGTTCCAGCAAGTGTCTCTGTAGATCTTAGAAAACTATTTCTTGATTTAAGTAGTTGGTGTGCTGGCTGATACCCAGAGGCGGCCCTAGGTAATTTTCAACAGTAAGCAAACAGTATTTTGGTGCCCTCTCCCCCCAACCAATCATTGATATATATTTTCTGTTCATCATGGGAGTTCTGTGTGCCATATTTGGTTCAATTCCATCATTGGTGGAGTTCAGAATGCTCTTTGATTACAGGTGAACTATACATCCCAGTAACTACAACTCACATATGTCAAGGTCTATTTTCCCCAAAGCGCCTCAAGAGCGCCCCTGGGCAAAATCAACTATATTGCGAATGCTTACTTTGCGTAATGGGTTGAGCCGCCCCTGCTGATACCCAAACAGGGGGTGGGCCGGAGATGTCACTGCCTTGGTCCTACTTTTAAACTACTAATTCCAGATTCTCAGGCCAGTGGATATGCTTGTTGGAAATCATGGGAGTTGTCATCCAAAAATACCTTCTTCTCTTTATTCTGTTCTCTCCCAAAGGAACAATAAGGAATCTTCCTCAAATTTTGCTCACTAACCCCGCTTCTTTCTCTTCCCCCATTAAACCCACAGTCAGAGAAAAGTCCTCGAATCCTTCGTCGCCAGAGGAGTGCCTTAATTGAACGCTGGGAGTCAGGGGCCGTTGGCAACCAGGAGGATGAAGATTAGAGACATTTTCTCAGCGAGAAGAAGCAGCGGTTCGCGTCTCCGGTGATAAGACACATGGCGGACCTGTGGGGAGCTTCCCCACTCCTATGCAAGGACATACTACCAGAGCCAACTATGTTTTCTTTTCACTCAGCCTTTTGATTTGACTATCCCCAAAAACATATCTGCAGGGTGATTATGGGATGGAACTATGCTTAAAATAGGCTGTGTTCTTCCAAACTTTTTATATGGAATGAAGAGAAGGGATGAATGGGTAAGCTTCAAGTGCACAAAGCATGACTATTTGCTAGTGTTGCATTTGCAAAGAGTCCCCTTGGAGGATTCATTCCAAGTGCTTTCCACATTCTGCTCCATGCTAGGTTTTTACTGGCTCTTTTGACCTGTATTAGACAGACTCTCTGCAAAAGATATATGGGTGCATCCATACTGGAAGCACATGCTCAGAGAGGCACTGTTAGGCACACTATTAGGATGGCGGGAGTCATAAGAGAGAGCAAGGCATTAGGGAATATTACTTTTTGAACTACAACTCCCAGAATCTCCCAAAACTCCTACTGGCTGGGGATTCTGGGAGCTATAGTCTAACAAAGAACCAAGCACTTGTGTCAGCAATTCCCATCCCAACAGAATATTTTTGTATTGGGGTAATTCATTGGTTGCAGAGGACCAACAGTCTGTGTAGATACATATCTCAAGAGGATTGGAGGAAGTTACACTTTGGAGTATAACTCCCAGAATCCCTAGGTAAGGAATTCTGTGTGTTGCGGCCAGGAAAGGATTTCTCACTACCAGCCCTGGTCCCTGTGACATTAGAGTGCTACTTCCAATAAGATCTTTTACTCTTTTAGTATGAGAATTTTGGCATGTTTTTTTTCCTTTGGGTATTTAACTTTAAGACAAAAAAAAATGTCTTATAAGAGCCACAGACTACAGATAGCAATGTGCTCCATGTATTATCAAAGGCTTTCATGGAAGGAATCACTGGGTTGTTGTAGTTTTTTTCATGCCATTTGGTCATGTTCTAGAAGCATTCTCTCCTGACGTTTCGCCTACATCTGTGGCAAGCATCCCCAGAGGTAGTGAGGTCCCTACAAGCTCCTTCCAGAGTTTGCAAAAGTTACTTTTTTGTATGTAGATACCATAATCTCATACCTAGATGGCCAGTAATTCATAAAAATGACCTCACAACCTCTGAGGATGCTTGTCACAGATGCAGGCGAAACGTCAGGAGAGAATGCTTCTAGAACATGGCCATACAGCCCGAAAAACCTACAACAACCCAGAGTGCTCCATATTTTCACTGAGAATGACTCAAGGCAAAAAATGATTGTCTTCTAGAGTATGCTTTGCCTCTGAGATTTTTTTTTATTCAACAAGACGAGAATCCTTCAGTTAGAAGAGATGCTTGATTTCGCGTATTTCAGTCAGAATTAAACATCATTTAAAAATGGAGTGACTCCAAATTGTTGACTTTTTGTGAATGCTCCTCAGAAAAATGCTATTTAGACAAAATATTGGGGTTTGGGGGGGGTTGTCGTGTCAGGAGTGACTCCTGGTGTGAGAGAATTGGCCGTCTGCAAGGACGTTGCCCAGGGGATGCCTGGATGATTTGATTTTTTTTCTCATCCTTGTGGGAGGCTTCTCTCATGTCCCCGCATATTGGTTGGTTTCCTTCAATGCTGGAAAAAATGTAGTGTAATTATTTCTGCCTAGGTGCCAGAAGCCACCTGAAGAAAGAAGTTTTCACAAAGAGGAGTAAAATCTGCTGTAACAGTGCATGGATTTTTCTTGGAACAGGTCAGGTAGGAACCAGAAAGAAAGTGCAAAGAAGAGATCTGGAAATGGTTTGAAATGGTTTCATCAAAGCTCAAAAATGTATTGAAACAAAACTACAATTCACTACTATCAGATATGTAATTATCCCCACCAAGTGTTCATCACGGAGCCTTCTGGTTCTGGTGTGTATTTATGTTTCTCTTTTTGTCCTGTCAATACAGTCAGAATACAATTGCCATTGAATGTTATTAAGTAGCTCTGTCAACAGCTTTCACGAACCTGCCTCTTTAAGGAGTTTTGAGGTGCCCAGACTCCATCCATCCTATAAAGTTGAAACTATAGGTGATCCTATGGGTTCTGCAACACAGAACTTGTGCTGTCGCACGCTGGGCCTGTACATAAGACTGTAGACAGGACATAAATTTAATGTGCCCAACGGGACGCCGGGGCTGCCAGATTAAAGTCCCTTGGATTCCCCCAAACAGAGTCTTTAGATTGCTTAAAGGTTCAACAAAGT